TGCTCGTCTGAAACCTTAAATAACGCTTCCAGATCTGCTAAGTGCTGTTGCTTATCCCGACTGTAAAGTAGGATGTCGTCGAGGTACACGATCACGCATTTATCTAAGAGCGGCCTAAATGCCTCGTTCATGGTCATCTGAAAAGTCGCCGGTGCGTTGGTCAGCCCGAATGGCATCACAGTGTACTCGAATGACTTGTACCTAGTCCTGAAAGCTGTTTTGGCGCAGTCCGATGGTTCGACCCTAATTTGATGGTAACCTCCCCGTAAATCTATTTTCGAAAAAACCCGTGCTGTTCACTGTTGGTCGATCAGTTCGTCGGCGCGGGGAATGGGGTACCGCGACTTGACTGTTACCCTATTCAGTGCTCTGTAGTCGATACACATGCGAAAACCCCCGTCTTTCTTTGGCGTGAATAGTATCGGTGCGGCGAACGGTGACGAGCTCGGTTTGATGAATTTTTTCTCTAACAGGTAATCTAACTGCTTCCTTAGTTCGTCGAGCTCGGGCTGTGTCAGTCTGAACTGGCGCTGTATTGTTGGCCATGCCCCCGGTTGTCATTCGATTCGGTGGTCATGTGCTCGTTGAGGTGGCAGTCCTTCCGGTAAGTCGTCGGGGAAAATCCCGGGGTATTGTTTCAACAGTTCCTGTAATTCGGGCGGTACAGCTGCCAGCAATTTCTTGAAATCACTCGGCTGCTCTGCTTCCTCTACTACTGCGATGTCTACTGCGTACACGTCAGCTCCAGCAGCGACAACCCATTTCATTGTGATGGCGTTGACGTGTACCTTGATGACTCGGGCGGCCAGCGAGTTAGCTCAACCTAGTTACCACTACTTCGCACGGTGCAGCTACCCATCGTCCAGTCAATTCGCCGGTTATACCGTCGCAGCCAATCACGTCCTAGTAAAATATCGTGCCCATCCAGTGTCGTTGCGAGCATTTCCTGTGTAAACCCGAAATTTCCCCTGCAGCGGACTTTGACTCTTTCTACCTTTTCCGGTATGGCCAGTGGCGTGCCGTCGACTAAGCGTGCGTCTATCTCCGGTAAACAGCGGCTAAGTGTCAGTTGCAGTTTTCGTGCGATTGCGGTATTAACTAAACTGTGGCTTGCTCCTCCGTCGATAAAAATCTTCACTGTTGCTCCCTGTATTTTCCCGTGGATCAGTACTAGGCAATCCGTCGTTGTACCCTCCTTATTCATCCGAGTCCGATCGATAGCATGAATCGGTACAGTGACTCGGTGAGGGTCGGTGGGGTTGGGCGAGCAGGCAGTCTCGTCAGTAGTTGGCCCGATTCCTATTGACTGTTGGTGTTTCCCTGCTTTGGAGACTCCCTCCCCTGCTCTGCTCCGCGGCGCCTTAGCTCCTCTGGGCATTCGCTCTTGCGATGGCCCGGCCTGTTGCAAGCAAAGCAGCGCCCCTTAAACGGTGCGGCAGCTGGATTCGTCGCAACAGCGTGTACAGTGGCGTGCTCGATCGGTCCCCGATGACAATGTCCATAGTAGGACCCCGGTCTCGGACGACGTAAAATGTCGATTTTCTCGGCGAGCGCGGGAATCTCATTGAAGTTCGAGAGCCCTCGTAGCATGATTTCGTGCGAGATGTCCGGCTTCAGCCCTCCGACGTAACGGTCCACCCGCTCCGCTTCGTGCATATAGCCGACTTGCTCACAAAATGCGAGAAAACCACTCGTATAGTCTTGAACTGATCCAAGCTGCCGCCAAGTGTGCAATCTCTGACGCGCCGAAATAGAAGCCGCGATCGGCTCGAAGCGCACCTGAAGCCCTGCGCACCACGCATCCCACGTGCTGTATTGGGCGGTCTCGTAGAATGAACTCCAGGTGACAGCTGGGCCCGTGGGACCTTCCTCTTGCGACGGTGGCTCGTAGGCGCGTGGCGACGTCACGATGACTCGCCACCAGTCCATGGGGGGGCCCCTTAGCAGCGAAACGACATACCGAATCTTCGCTACGTCCGACTCGACGTAATTTGCGTCGAAGAAGACGTCCATCGTGAAGACCCACGACTGAACCGTCGGACCTCCACGCTGGCTCGGGTTGAAGCAGGGCGGGCGTTGCGGCTTGAGTGGCATTGGTGCGACCCTGTTTCCTCCCATGCCAGGCATTGGCTGGGCGGCGCCATCGTTGGCTGCGCCTGAGCGCTGTCCCACGCTGTTGTTTTGTATTGGTGTGTTGGACGAGATGATGATCGGCTCGTGTGATTGTGCAGATGCATTTGTCGGTGCGTGTGGTGGCGCTAGAGTGTTCATCGTTGTTTGCTGATGCGCGGAGTCACGTTCTGCCGTGAGCGTCGCAATTTCGAGCGCCGAATCTTCAAGTTGGCGCACCGGACGGTCGAGCTGCCCCTGCGTCAATGTGGCGAGCGTGAACTCGGCCATGGCGGGGGTGTCGGGCGAGCTCAGCGAGAGCCTCGGTGGTGGCCATGCGTGCTTTCGAGAGAGCACTACGAGCGGCGGTGCTGTGTCGCTGAGAGACATCTACCCCCCCCCCCCCCCCCCCCCCAAAATTGAGATAGTGGGAAGCGAAGGTGTGGGTGCGGTCCGAGAGGAGATCGTAGGCTCTGATAACCAGGTGTTACGAGTGCAATTGAGTGAACGAACGAGAATTGCACTATCGAAGCAAGAGTACAATGAGCGAAGGCATGAGCGAAGAATATATAGCGAAACTACAGTGGTAACGGTAATGGACTGTGGTTGTCGCGCGACGGGCCTGGGACTGAGGTTGGGAAAAAGTGTCGAAGCGGAGGCCCGGAGCGCGGGTTACCCGCCGAGCCGTGAGGTCGGGGTGCGATGTGCGAAGGTGGCAGGCGGATTGTCGATGCGAGGGTGGCGAGTGGTAACGGTGCTGACTGTGGTGCTACAGTGATGTACGCGTTGAGCAGGGATGCGAAGGAAAAGGAATTTTCCTTACAACACCAAAGCACAACGATAAGTAATTTGATTCCATCTAAGCGTGACACTGGGCGTTGTTCTGCAGGCGTTTCGGGTTCCGCACCAAATTGACCGCGGTAGCCTTCCGTGCATTTTCTAGGCGCATTCATGCTGGTTGCGTTGCGCGGATGTTGCTGCCTCGCAGAACATGTGCGGAGGCTGAAGCTAGCTCTCCAGGTAGAATTAGCACCGCACTAGTTGTGCGGCCATTTGCCCGGCGAAGCAACAACTTCGAACCTGCAGACGGTCAAATTCGTGCGCCCCATAAATGGCGTTCTGCAGGCTGATGCGTTAAATTTGGCGCAAACAGGTTCGGCAGGACCTTTCTTATCACCAAACCTTGATAGGCAGAAGACCACTTATCAACAAAGATTCTGCGGACCCAGTTTTTGGAATTTTAACGCCTACAGAACAGCGCCTGTATGGAGTTCTCGTAAGCCAGAGTCTCGGCAGCCGCAGGGAAGGGAAAATCCAGGCAAGACTTCCGCAAACGGAGTATCCTGAGCTGCGTCCCGATTGGTCAGGGATCATGCTACGACGGTAGGCGAATCCAGACTGTCATAAATGGCGCCGACGCCGCATAAATCCCGATTGAACAATCCAGACCGCGCCGACGCCGCTTAAATGGCGCCGCCAAAGCCAATCACGATGCAGCTGCGAGCATGGCTTGCACTTTTCGCCGCGCTCTGGCTTGCTGCCTTCGTCTCACAGTGCCATGCGCAAGCAGCAGTGATCAACTCTACTCAAGGTGCCTCCCTCCTTCCTTGAACCAATTCTTTACCAGTACAGGTAATACCACCCGACCAAATACTTCTCTGGTTCTTGGTTATCCAATTTGAGGCAATCGAACATAGTGTTGAAGCCGGTTATTCAGCGGGGTAGGGGGAGACCCATCATCAAAAGGGCGTTTTTTGATTATCTATCGCAGGCGCGTTGCTTGGTAAGCAACTTCCGCGGATTAGGGTTAGTAGTTATTATAGCAACTACGGATAACAGGAGCCTTCCTTCGTTATCCAGAGCATCATGCGAGGGCAGCAGAGACGTTCCTGGCAAAGCTGATCCTTTGATTCATTCCTAGCGCAGGTTGTATACATCATTTACAGGTGTTACAAAGCAGCCTAGGCTGTATGTACTCATCAGCTTGTGCCTCTCTGGTCCTTGCATTATTAGAGCCGGCAGTATACAGGCATACAGGTGAGTACATTTGTAACCAAGCAGTAACAGCCTACGCTGTATCTCCTCATCAGCGTAGGCTGATGACGGGTACAACAGAAGGTCACGGAGGCTGGAATCTCCCTAGGTACCTACCCCTCTGGGATCTAGAGAAGAGACCGGGTGGGAGGCTCTACTCTAGAAGGTGAAACAAGTCGGCTGCACACAGTGGTTCAGAGATATGGGGCAGGGCCGCGACGTGTGCGTTCAGAGGTATGGAGCAGGGCTGCGACGTGTGCGTTCAGAGGTATGGGGCAGGCCACATAGCGGCTGGTGAGCAAGAGGCAGAGCCGGGGTTTCATTTTGGCACATTGCATGAGGCATTGGAAGTGGCTCCAATGCTGCACCCTGCCTGCTGCTGCGCCCAACCGTTGGGTGTAAGGCTCACACGGAGGAAAGCAGGACCGGGTTGGGTCCAGGCCCGATGGGGTCCGTTTCAGCGAGCATTGGACCGTGGAGTCCGTGTGGCGAGAGGGGAACTTGCAAGGAAAGGAGGACCGGGTGACTGGGTCCGGTCCAGACCGCCGAGCCGCGCACTTGGATGGGTCTCAGTAAGGTTGTGTAGAGGGCTGTCTAAGGCAACGGCCTCAGTAAGGTCAGTGAAAGCTCCTGAACACGCTGCGGCATCACCCATGCGATGTAAGAAGACAACGCCTGGTGGGTGTGCGTCGATGGTGGTTTCCACCAGCGAGTGAGCGTTAGATACTTGCCGCAACGTGGCTGCTCGCCCGTTGGGTGTTTCAGGTGATGGCGGGCTGTGAGGAATGTGTGACCCGGTCTGGGTTGGGGTGGCTGCTCGCCCGTTGGGTGTTTCAGGTGATGGCGGGCTGTGAGGAATGTGTGACCCGGTCTGGGTTGGGGTGGCTGCTCGCCTGTTGGGTGTTTCAGGTGATAGCGGGCTGTGAGAAAAGTGTGAGGAGGCCTGCTCGGCTGCTCCACTGTTGGGAGCTCAACCGCCTGTGTTAAAGATGTGTGGCTAAATGTGGCAATTGCAGAGCACCGGATACTCAAAGGGTGCGCCAGAGGGTCCGGCCCCTACACCGTAGGGACACTTGACCTGTGAGAAATGTGTGACCCAGTCCGGGGTGGTTGCTTCGTCGTTGGGCGTCTGGACTGCAGAGCAGCCAGTGTTTCAGGTGATGGCGGGGAAATGGGCGCGAGTAATAGTCCGTTCTTGGGGCAACGCGAGATGCTCTGCTTCCAGGAACGAGTGGATGGAAAGAGCAACGGCTCAAGGCGCAATATGCTCTGTTGATTGAACTTTTGAGAATTCTTAAATGCTCTGCTTCCAGGAACGAGTGGATGGAAAGAGCAACGGCTCCACTTGTGTGCGGCGGCGGGTGGGTGTGCGGCGGCGGGTGAGTGTGCGGCGGCGGTTTTCATTTGCGAGCGTTGGACGCTTGCCCGCCGCTCAGTAGCGTTGCAGCTCTGAATGCATGGTCGAGGAATAGTCGGGCGGGCGTGGCGTAGGTGAGTCACACGAGGAGGTGGCCTGGGCAGACTGCCGTGACTGGGCAGACTGCCGTGACTGGGCAGACTGCTGTGACTGGGCAGACTGCTGTGACTGTGCAGACTGCTGTGACTGTGCAGACTGCTGTGACTGTGGAGACTGCTGGACTGCTTTGACTGTGCAGACTGATGTGACTGGGCAGACTGCTGTGACTGGGCAGACTGCTGTGACTGGGCAGACTGCTGTGACTGGGCAGACTGCTGTGACTGGGCAGACTGCTGTGACTGGGAAGACTGCTGTGACTGTGCAGACTGCTGTGACTGGGCAGACTGCTGTGACTGGGCAGACTGCTGTGACTGTGCAGACTGCTGTGACTGGGCAGACTGCTGTGACTGGGCAGACTGCTGTGACTGGGCAGACTGCTGTGACTGGGAAGACTGCTGTGACTGTGCAGACTGCTGTGACTGGGCAGACTGCTGTGACTGGGCAGACTGCTGTGACTGGGCAGACTGCTGTGACTGGGCAGACTGCTGTGACTGGGAAGACTGCTGTGACTGTGCAGACTGCTGTGACTGGGCAGACTGCTGTGACTGGGCAGACTGCTGTGACTGTGCAGACTGCTGTGACTGGGCAGACTGCTGTGACTGGGCAGACTGCTGTGACTGGGCAGACTGCTGTGACTGGGAAGACTGCTGTGACTGTGCAGACTGCTGTGACTGGGCAGACTGCTGTGACTGGGCAGACTGCTGTGACTGGGCAGACTGCTGTGACTTGGCAGACTGCTGTGACTGGGAAGACTGCTGTGACTGTGCAGACTGCTGTGACTGTGCAGACTGCTGTGACTGGGCAGACTGCTGTGACTGGGCAGACTGCTGTGACTGGGCAGACTGCTGTGACTGGGCAGACTGCTGTGACTGGGCAGACTGCTGTGACTGGGCAGGCTGCTGTGACTGGGCAGACTGCTGTGACTGGGCAGACTGCTGTGACTGGGCAGACTGCTGTGACTGGGCAGACTGCTGTGACTGGGCAGACTGCTGTGACTGGGCAGACTGCTGTGACTGGGCAGACTGCTGTGACTGGGCAGACTGCTGTGACTGGGCAGACTGCTGTGACTGGGCAGACTGCTGTGACTGGGCCAGGTTTCCTTGTTTAGCGAGTCTCTCCACTCTCGCGAGGATGCCAGTGGCATCGTCAGTCAGCCTGTCTTGGGGGTGGAGGGAGTTGCGTTCTGGCAGCTGCGTCAATCAAGGTAGCGATTTCTGGCGAGTATTTTGTCCCTGTGATGGAAATGAAGCACTCTGGTTGCCATTGCCTGCCAATCAGGGCAGCGAGCGCTGGAGTTTCGGAGGATAAGGGTGCGGGATAAATTCGAGTAGACACCATGCTTCCGTGGAGTCTGGTTTGGTTGAAAGGTGTATGAGCAGTGCCAGGAGTCAGGAAGCAAATGCTTAGCAATGTGAGCGAAGGGGATGGCAAGCCGGTGCTGGCTGGCGACCGGGCTTGAGCATGATGCCCGGCTGGGTCGGGTCGACCCGTGACCCGAGCGCGGGGAATGGCAAGCCGGTGGTGGCTGGCGACTGTCGAAATGGGGCATCAGGTGACAGGTCCCATCTGGCCTGGCCAAGTCGATAGGCGCCAAGATCCATTTCGCGAACAAATTCTGGTGCGAAGCCAAGTCGCGCGGGGAGACAATGTTGGGGTCAGGTTCAGGCGGTGAACTTCAGAAACATTTGTGACCCGACCCGGCACATGCTTTGGGGTTGGGACCAGACCAGGCACGGCTCGCGGAATCGGAGCAGATTGCGGAGTGCAATCACGTTCTCGGCTATGTGGAGAAAGACGCTCAGGTTCCCGGCGTGCGCCTGGAGGATAGAGGGTTGACTTTTAAGTCGACTCAGGAGTGCAATTACGTTCTCGGCCGTGTGGAAAAAGACTCTCAGGTTCCCGGCGTGCGCCTGGAGGATGGAGGGGGCAGAGGGCCCATCCTCCTGGCCCGGCTGTGGTGGCAGCGACCGCCGCGGCAACGGCAACTCTTGAAGCGCTGCCGGGTTTGGTTCTGCGGATGGCGCGGCCGCAAGTGCCAGTGGTGCCAACGGTGGGGCAGGCAGCCCCCTCCTTTTGAGTCGACTCAAGTGCAGAGCCGTGGCATTGGCAGCTCTTGAGGCGCTGCCGGGTGTGGTTCTGCCGGTGGCGCGGCCGGGTGTGCTAGTGGTGCCAACGGTGGAGCAGGCATCCCCCTCCTTTTGAGTCGAATCAAAAGCAGACAGCCGTGGCAACGGCAGCTCCTGAGGCGCTGCCGGGTGTGGTTCTGCCGATGGTGCGGCCGGAAATGCCAGTGGTGCCAACGGTGGAGCAGGCAGCCGCCTCCTCCTCATGATCTCTCCGGCGCAGCTGGTGCCCCACCGTTGTGCCAACGGTTGGCACTGAAGAGCCGCCAACGGTGGGGCAGGCAGGCAGGCAGGCAGGCTCCTCATGATCTCTCCGGCGGAGCTGGTGCCCTCTGGAGGTCCGCAGCCGCTCCCTCGCGGTCCGCCATGCTCTTAAACCTCCGTAGGCGAGCGGAGGGCGGCGACTCCTGTTGGTGGGCCATCCGTGTTTCATCCCTTTGTGATCTCTGGAGGTCCAGCAGTCGCCCCCTCATTCTGCCGCAGCCGCTCCCTTGCGGTCCGCCATGCTCTTTACCTCCGTAGGCGAGCGGAGGGCGACTCCTGCTGTTCAGAGGTATGGGGCAGGCCAGCGACGTGTGAGGTCTGCTCTGCCATGCGTAGATAGGTTATTTTTGAGACGTCTCAAAAATAACTTATTTAGACGAGCTGTTCAGAGGTATGAGGCAGGCCAGCAACGTGTGAGGGCTGCCATGCCATGCCATGCCATGCCATGCCATGCCATGCCATGCCATGCCATGCCATGCCATGCCATGCCATGTACCCGTAGACGAGTGGAGGGCAGCGACTCCTGTTGGTGGGTGGGCCACCTGTGTGTCATTTGAGACGTCTCAAAAGACGTGTGAGGTCTGCTCTGCCATGCCCTTAACCTCTGTAGGCGAGTGGAGGGCAGCGACTCCTGTTGGTGGCCCACCTGTGTGTCATTTCATTTCATCCCTTTGTGCTCGCCGAAGGGAGGCCTCATCTCGCTCATCCGCCGTTGATGCTCCTGTCCCCCCCCGGTGCTTTCTCTCCATTGCTCTCTCCTCTTTCTCCCTGTCCCCCAACTGCCAGCGGTGTTTCTCGAGGACTGCGAGAAGGCATGGGGAAAGACGCTCCCAGGCTGGGCCGTGGGTGCTACCTGTGGCAATGTTGGAGTCACATGCGACGCTTCAGGCATGATTCCCCCTGTCCCCCAACCCAACTGCCAGCGGTGTTTCTCGAAGACTGTCAGAAGGCGTGGGGAAAGACACTCCCAGGCTGGGCCGTGGGTTTCACTCTCTATTGCTCCCTCCTTTGCTTCCCTCCCCTCCTGTCCCCCAACTACCAGCAGTGTTTCTCGAGGACTGTCAGAAGGTATGGGGGAAGACGCTTCCAGGCTGGGCCAGGAGTGCTACCTGTGGCAGGAGTGTCGAACTCACCTGCCACGTCGTGCCCAGCCCTCAATCTCTCTCTCACTCTCTCCTCTCTCCTCTTTTCCCTTGTCCCCCAACTGCCAGTGGTGTTCCTCAAGGACTGCCAGCCAGAAGGCATGGGGAAAGACGCTCCCAGGCTGGACCGTGGGTGCTACCTGTGGCAATGTTGGAGTCACATGCGACGCTTCAGGCATGATTCCGCCTGTCCCCCAACCCAACTGCCAGCGGTGTTTCTCGAGGACTGTCAGAAGGCATGAGAGAGGACGCTCCCAGGGTGGACCAGAGGTGCTGACTGAAGGCTCACCTTGTGCCCTCCCTCTCTCCTCTCTCCTCTCCTTGTGTGTGCCTCTCTCTCTCTCTGCCCTTCTGTTCCCCAACTGCCAGCGGCGTTTCTCGAGGACTGTCAGAAGGCATGGGGGAAGACTCTCGCAGTCTGGACCGTGGGATTTACTCTCGATTTCTCTCTCCTTCGCTTCCCTCCTGTCCCCCAACTGCCAGCGGTGTGTCTCAAGGACTGCGAGAAGGCATGGGGAAAGACGCTCCCAGGCTGGGCCGTGGGTGCTACCTGTGGCAATGTTGGAGTCACATGCGACGCTTCAGGCATGATTCCCCCTGTCCCCCAACCCAACTGCCAGCGGTGTTTCTCGAGGACTGTCAGAAGGCGTGGGGGAAAGATGCTCCCAGGCTGGGCCGTGGGTGCTACCTATCCCTCTCTCTCCCTCTCTCTCTCTCTCTCTCTCTCTCTCTCTCTCTCTCTCTCTCTCTCTCTCTCTCTCTCTCTCTCTCTCTCTTTCTCTCTCTCTCTCTCTCTCTCTCTCTCTCTCTCTCTCTCTCTCTCTCTCTCTCTCTCTCTCTCTCTCTCTCTCTCTCTCTCTCTCTCTCTCTCTTATTCTCTCTCCTCTCCTGTCCCCCAACTGCCAGCGGTGTTTCTCGAGGACTGTCAGAAGGCATGGGGGAAGGCGCTCCCAGGCTGGGCCAGGGGTGCTTATTGTGACGAGATTAGCGGAGTCAGCTGCGACAGTGCAGGCATGATCACAGTGATGTACGTTTATGTGCTGTCGTTTGATAATGTATCGTTAAGTTTGGATTGGACATGCTGATGGTGTACACATGGGTGCTACATGTGGCACGATCAGCGGGGTCAGCTGTGACGGTGCAGGCATGATTACAATGATGTACGTGTGATGATGTACGTGTGATGATGTACGTGTGATGATGTACGTGTGATGATGACCACACTTGGCGGTGGCGCATGATAATGGGTGCTACATGATGATCACATGTTGCACCATTACCGGGGTCAGCTGTGACGGTTTAGCCATGATCTCAATGATGTACGTGTGGTAATGTATTGTCAAGGTTGGATTGAACCTCACACCACACATTCTGCTGGATTGGGTTGGCTTGCTTTGGTTGATGCCCAATGCCTGCGTCCAGGTTTGCGCCTTCACTTTCAAGTCTACATGATTACATGTGGCACTATTACCGGGGTCATCTGGGACGGTTTAGGCATGATTACAATGATGTACGAGTGGTAATGTACTGTTAAGTCTGGATTGGCTGGATTGGACCCACACATGCTGCTGCTGGTGTCCTGCAGGCTTGCTCTGATTGATGCCCGATGCCTGCGGTCGAGGTTGCGCCTTCACTTTCAAGTCGTCGTGTTACTTCACCCATTGAAAGTGTTTTCGTCCACCTTTGTTCAACCCACCCTCCCACCCCACATAGATCTCTGAAGAACCAAACTCTCAATGGGTCTATTCCTGACAGCATCTCCTCTCTCACTTCACTATCTGACCTGTAAGAACCTCACAGATAAACTATGAAGCATATTGATTTACAGGTAGAGAAGGGCACGTCGGCAAAGGATAACAACAAAAATGCAACACGGCAGTCACATATCAACCTCGGTTGTTGCATCCTTTGAGGCGCCTCAAAACACGGCAGTCACATATCAACCTCGGTTGTTGCATCCTTTGAGGCGCCTCAAAACACGGCAGTCACATATCAACCTCGGTTGTTGCATCCTTTGAGGCGCCTCAAAACACGGCAGTCACATATCAACCTCGGTTGTTGCATCCAATCCAACGAAGTTCAGTCGTATGAAATCCCAACACCAATAACTTTCCCGCTTCAGATTTCTTCGTCCCATCTGAATGTCCTCACCTCACCCTTTGTTTGCCCCTCTTACCCTTGCACTTCTCATGCCTTGTTCTCCTCTGGATGCTACACAAAGCTTCCCACCATGCTCGTACCATCACCCTCTTGGGTTGCTTGTCTGTGCTTGCTGTCCGTCAGCCCATTCCCACTAATCTCATCTCCTCACTTCTTTCGCCCCAACTCCCCCCCCCCCCCCTCCCTCTCTCTCTCCTCTCCCCCTTTCCCCCCATGCACAGAACTCTTACAAACAACAATTTGATTGGCTCCATCCCCAACAGCATCTCTGGGCTTTCTCAGCTCACCTTCCTGTATGAACCACCTCGTTTCAGCCTGGTGATCAGCACGAACATGACCAAAGATGGCATGAAGCCTAAAACCCTCGAGAGAATATTCGCAGCCACATAACCTAGATAGGGATGAGCAAGGTGGCGAACACCTGTTCGGTTCGCCTCGAACGTGTTCGAGGCGAACCGAACAGGTTTTGTTTTTTAGCTCAAATCGTTCGCCGAACAGTGTTCGATGTTCGCCCGAACACGTTCGTGTTCGGGCCGCTGCTGAAATTTGCCCGCGACGAACACGAACAGTGTTCGAGGTTCGCCCGAACACGCCTCCACAGGCGAACAGCGAACACCTGTTTTTTCCTAAACTGTTCGCCGAACTGAACAGTGTTCGGTTCGGCAAAAGAGGGTGTTCGACAAGGGGCGAAGACGAACATGTTCGTGTTCGCCCTTTGCTCATCCCTAAACCTAGATGCGACACGCAAGGAAGAAAGCAAGGAGTTTCGGGTAATCAGAACGTGGGCATATAGCTCACGTGGGAAGAAAGCAAGGAAGAATGCATATGGCCTCGAATTGGAATGCATATGGCCTGGAATTGGAACCATTAGCCTCGATTTGAACTGCTCCCATCATCCTCGTCTCTCTCATCCCTCACTTGGGTCGACCGTGTGGTGTTCTTGCTGTCGCTCAGACCATGCCCTCTATTCTCATTTCATCACTTATTCCGCCCCAACCCATACCACACACACACAGGGATCTTTCAGACAACTCTTTCACGGGCTCCATTCCCAGTGGCATTCACTTGCTTCCTCAGCTCTCTTATCTGTATGAAGCTCGTCTCAAGGGATGCACACACATGCTCGTCTCATCACCCTCTTGTGTGCTCGTATCATCTTAGGAAGCTTCTCTTATCAGGGAAGTGAGATTCGGTTGTCACTCATGCCTGTCTGTCTCCCACCATGATCGTACCATCCCCCAATTGGGTCAATCGTGGGTGCTTGCTGTCGCCCAGTCTAGGCTCCCTTTTTAAGGGCAACGGACAAACGCCTTCTGAGGAGAACCGGGCAGGTCATTTTTGTTTTGCCCTTTTTGTTCGGGTCGACTGTGTCCTCCCCCAATTGGGTCAATCGTGTGTGCTTGCTGTCGCTCAGTTCGGTCTAGGCTTGGGGTAGAGAGTCCCACAGCTGTTCGGTTCACCTCAAACATGTTTGAGGCGAACCGAACATGACTTTTCCTTTTCCACTGTATGTTTGGGTCGAAGATGTTCGTGTTCGACATTGGCCGAAACTCCATACGGGCGCCGATGATTCGTTGCGCGTGCACCTATCAATGTCGCGCGCACTTCCAGTTGCTGTAAGTGCGGACGTAGCGGACCAGGTGGCGTTAACGTTCCAGCGTGGGGTGCGCGCCCTGTTGCGGATCCAGAATTATTCGATGCCTTAAAGTATAGCCTCTCTTAGTTTATGCACGCTTGTAGCCCAATTTCGTGGCTAACAAGGTGAGGTTATGTAAAACGTGCTTCTAGAAAGCAAAAGTTTGCACAAGAGAGTGGTACTGGTTCTAGACTAGAACTGGCAGGCAGGACGACAATTTCGAGGGTAAAAATTAACTCTTCGCAAGGGGCGAAGCGTTACCTGTAACCGGGTCAGGTATGACCGACCTGAACACGAGACTCGACCCGCCTTCGGGTCTGGTAAACCCAACCCGACGGGTCGCCGATACCCGCGCGAAAAGGGGCCCCACGAGTAGTGGGTCGACCCGAACCGTCTGGGTAAACCCGACCTGACCCGGTCGGGTCAGATGCAAACACCGTACAGACCTGACCCGGCCTATTGACAGGGCAGGTAGGTAGGTTCACCCGATCCGTCCTCGTCAGATGCCCAAGCCTAGTTCATGTTCAGTCAATGCCCTCTATTCCCATCTCCTCATTTATTCGACCCCAACCCATACCATGCACATGCAGGTCTCTTTCTAACAACCGTTTGACGGGCTCCATTCCGAGCAAGATATTCACAATCCGTCAGCTCGCGTATCTGTATGGCGCTCCTCGTTTAAGGCTGGAGCTAAGCACACACGATGGTCACACCTAGAGTGGGCTTTGTAGTGGTTTCTTCAACTCCATCACTTAGAAATCCCTTCGTATCGTCTGGTTTAGAGTGCTGCTTGCATTCCGGGCCTCAGCCCCAACGCATATTTTCTACTGAGGCTACTATGAGGATTGCTTCTATTCTGTTATAGGGTCGAGGGTTGAGGGTTTATCTGTACGATGCACCTCGTTGTGCACATCACATCAAACATGTCGACACCCATCAAACATGTCAACACCCATCAAACATGTCAACACCCATCAAACATGTCAACGCCCATCAAACATGTCGGCACCCATCAAACATGTCAACACCCATCAAACATGTCGGCACCCATCAAACATGTCAACACCCATCAAACATGTCAACACCCATCAAACATGTCAACACTCATCAAACATGTCAACACCCATCAAACATGTCAACACCCATCAAACATGTCAACACCCATCAAACATGTCAACACCCATCAAACATGTCGGCACCCATCAAACATGTCAACACCCATCAAACATGTCAACACCCATCAAACATGTCAACACTCATCAAACATGTCAACACCCATCAAACATGTCGACACCCATCAAACATGTCAACACCCATCAAACATGTCAACACCCATCAAACATGTCAACACCCATCAAACATGTCAACACCCATCAAACATGTCAGGAAGGGATGAGCATCAAACCCATGAGCAGGGTTTAGCACGGTTCCAACCAGGTTTGGATGTTTGCATGCTTGGATGGTCCAAGATGGTCAGCCACACGCTTAACCGTATGCTAGCGTGATAAGCCACACTCTTACCACGCTCTATGCTAGCAGCTAGCGTGATAAGCCACACGCTTACCACGCTCTATGCTAGCAGCTAGCGTGATAAGCCACACGCTTACCACGCTCTATGCTAGCAGCTAGCGTGATAAGCCACACGCTTACCACGCTGTATGCTAGCAGCTAGCGTGATAAGCCACACGCTTATCACGCCGTATGCTAGCAGCTAGCATGATAATCCACACGCTTATCCCGCTGTATGCTAGCAGCTAGCGTGATATTTCACACGCGTATCACGCTGTATGCTAGCAGCTAGCGTGATAATCCACACGCTTATCACGCTGTACACTAGCAGCTAGCGTGATAAGCCACACGCTTATCACGCTGTATGCTAGCAGCTAGAGTGATAATCCACACGCTTATCACGCTGTATGCTAGCAGCTATCGCGATAACCCACACGCTTATCACGCTGTTTGCTAGCAGCTAGCGTGATAATCCATACGCTTATCACGCTGTATGCTAATCCACACGCCTATCACGCTGTATGCTAGCAGCTAGCGTGATAATCCACACACTTATCATGCTGTATGCTAGCTGCTAGCGTGATAATCCACACGCTTATCACGCTGAATGCTAGCAGCTAGTGCGATAATCCACACGCTTATCACGCTGTATGCTAGCATTTGGAGTAAAATCCGGTTTAGATCACTAGAAACTTAAGAAAACGTAGGGAAGGACAGCTTTTGGGTAGGTGCCAAAAGTCGGAATCATGAGGGTATGTGGCGATTGAGAGGGAAGGTGAAGTGAGGAAGGAGAGTTAGGTTAGAATGTTGCATGGAATTAGTCTCCGGAAAGAGTGAACGTGTTCCATTTGGGTAATACAAGGAGAGTTCAAGACAAACTAGTTTGAGTTCGCTTATTGCTCATGCCGCCCGCCATGCTCGTGTCATCTCCCAATTGGGTTGACATTTTCTGCTGGCTCCCCATCCACTATTCACATCTTTTCACTTCCGCCCCAACCCATACCATACCACACACACAGGTCTCTTGCAAACAACAATGTGACGGGCTCCATTCCCAACAGCATCTCTGTGCTATCTCGGCTCAATTATCTGTATGAAGCCCCTTGTTTCAGCCTGGCGCTACACATGGAAGATCAAGGCTCTTAATTATAAGTAGACATTCATATATAATCTTAAATCCAGAAATCATTGAGAGAATATTCTTTGCCACAAAGCCTAGATGCCACACGCAAGGAAGGAAGCAAGGGGTTCCGAGTAATAAAAACGTATATTGCAGCGCAGCATATCCCGCAAGGTTTGACGAGAACCACAGATTCGTCAAACTGGGTGTGCGGCTTGAACCATTTCCCCCTAACCGAACCATGATTCGTTTCTTACTCATCATGCCAATCTGGTATGATGCGTATCTCCCCCACCATGCTCATCTCATCTGCCAATTCAGGTCCCCTGTGTGCTTGCTTGCTATCATTCGGTTCCGTGCCCTCCAATCTCCTCACTTAGTCCGTCCCAACCCCATACCACGCACACACAGGTCTCTTTCAAACACCGGTCTGATGGGATCCATTCCCAGTGACATTTACTGGCTTTCTCAGCTCTCTTATCTGTAGGAAGCTCCTCCTTTGAGCCTGGTGCTAAGCATGTATGGTAAACACCTCAATTGATGGGCTGGACCCCCCAAAAATGGTCAGCCCTTAATTATCGGGGTAAACCTAACTTTGGTCACTCACCTCATGCCCTATTTGTACTGTTCTTTCTCAAGATATCAACACCCAAGTTTCTAACAGGGACGACATATCTTAGACTTCCTAAACCCATATTCGCTAATGTTCTAGGCAAACCTGTGAGAGATAGCCGGAGAGGGTCGCAAACAAGACCGGGATTTGTGAGTTGCTTGAATAATGAAGTAAGGGATGATGTCTTGAGTGTGGGCTGGCCTGGCCCTACAATGGTAATCTTGTGGTTTCCACTGGAACCTTCCCTGGACCACTCTAGGCTGTTTTCGGCGACATCCTCAAACTAGGTAAAATTAGGAGTATGTGTGGTGTGTACAACCCTGTTTAACAATATGCTAAACACTGCTGCTGGTAGACTAGGCTCTAGGAAGGAAAACTGGCTAAATTCAATCAAGCTAAAAAACGAGCATGATCAAATTGTCCCATCAACCTAGCTCTTTTGCTCGAACACATTTGTGTTCGTCGCAGCCAA